GTTAGGCCGATTTTCACCTGTCTTGGAAATCGCCTTTCATTTTCGGGCTATTGCTATTGCCAAACAAAATGAGTACATACAGCCTAACGTGGAATTTAATGATCAATATGTGCTTTGACGCCAGGTCAGAAGTAAACAAGATTTAACATAAGGCGCGAGATACAAAATGTCTAAAAATGCTCTGAAGACGGCTTGTTTACCTGATTTGAAAATAAAAAAGAATTTGGAGAAACATTCACACGTGGTTAAAGTGACAGCTATCTGAAAGTGATTTTCAGTTTTCAGGCTAATCTTGCAAGTAATATTTTGCTTGTGCTTCCTAAAAGTTAGACAAAACCCTTGAAAATTCCTGCCATTTAAAATAAAAAGCTGGAAAATTCTGTTTTTACCTCACATTATATATATATATATATATATATATATATATATATATATATATATATATATGTGTGTGTGTGTGTGTGTGTGTGTGTGTGTGTGTGTCTCAGAAATGGACAATAATTATTTCCCAGATAATAAAAAACATAGGAATCTCTTTTATTTCTACAGATAACTGCAGGTAATGGACAAATATTATTGGTGTTGATTATTCCAGGTATGTTTATTTCACATTGACCAGATACCACTTTATCATAATCGGAAAAAAGTATACACAATTTACAGGTTTTATAGAATCATATTTTACATTATCGATATGTACATATTGCAATTACAATGGACATCTACATATTAGAAAGAAAAGTTACAAAAGAGAAATAACACAATAACATTGCCTCTATATTTACTTAGAAATATAATTAACGCTTCGCTGGATTTTCATTATTGAAATAATTTGTGATTGTACAAATGTTAATTTATATTTTACAAGGTTTATAAAATATTTGAATATCATTAATTGCATACATCGTATTTGGCTGTGAACAACTGGTATCAAACTGCGAACAGTGTATATTCAGATACGTCACTCCACAATGAGCCAATACATTTGGGTCTATGCTGTTCACTAGTGTAACCCTACAAAGATATAAACAAATGTTTCATAATTTTATAAAGAATGAACCTCGAATAGTTAGAAATTTTAAACTGAAAGAGTTACATAAAAAAGCAAGGAGCATCAATCAAATAAAGACTCTCCTTCTAGCAGAGTAAATATTGGACATAAAAGGGAAAAAAAGGTGGTACTGAACATCCCTAAAACGTTTGTATGACGATTAATTTTTTTAATTTATATGCAGTTCAATTTTAAACAAAGAGTGTCGAAGTAAACTGAAAACTGAAGTAGTCTGGTAAACACACACACACACACACACACTTGATTTGGACATGTAAAAATATAAACAGAATATTGCTGCATTAAAAGACAATTTTGTATCGGATTAAACAGTAATAAGCTCTGTAGAGCAGACAGATAAACAATGACATTATTTAAAACCTATAAATTAGGACCTTGAACATTTGAAATATATTATCTGAAATAAATCGGACAGTTCGCGGTGCATGTGATGATATTACTTAGAATAATAGTACATCTATTTTAAATCTTTTTGAAAAAACTGGATGTGAAAAGGCGAAGTGCTCGACAGAACTAGTATGTTTTTAAAACTATCCCATTCCAAGTTCAGTGGACTTGTGACGTTGCTATTAAGGATATCCAGATGCGTCCCTCCTTTATCGAACAGATGGATGTTATCCGAAGCAAATCCTCAGACGACAAGATTTCCAAACTTGTCTATGTTTAATCCAGTTGGATGTGTTAATTTGGGATGAGAATAGACCTGGAGAGGATCTTGTAAAAGTTTTGACATGGGATGCTGCTTAAAAGCGAAAACTTTATTGCCAACTTCATCAGAAACATACACTACACTATCAGACGGGTCCCCATGTATATATTTCAATGCAGAACACAACTGTTCGCCATCGGAGCTCTTATCCAGATACTGTAAACACTTTCCACTCTGATTGACGACACGGACACTATCCTTGCTCGTCAAAACAAGCACATCATTGAGAAAGGCAATGCCTAATATTTCTCGAGGAGCTTTTATAGATGAAATGAATTTAATTTCATTAGAAAGTTCGTATTCACTAATCTCACCTATATCAGGTTCGGACACAGCGTATCTATTTCCCTGCATTCTAGACAGAAAAGCTGGGTTGCCACGAGTGAATGCTATGTAAAGTAATGTCCCTTTGACGTCATAGAGTTTTAGTGACTTGTTGTCAACGTCTACCATGAGTAGCTTGTCGTCTTCTACAAAAAAAAAACAAAAAACAGAACGAACCTTCGGTGACATTTTTTCATCAGGAACGGACACCTTAAATTTGGACATTGCTTGTAAGTGATACATCTGTTGTTTTGCAAAATTTGACGAAATTTGTCGAAACTGGCATCTGTCATTTAAGACGGTCACTGATCCAAATTTCGAAAACTGCTTCATAATGGCGTTATAAGTTTCACTGGGATCAAAATTGAGATTAGACTCATACATATCATCAAGCGTCTTTGGAAGCTCTGTTTTCAGAGTGGCCATGTTTTTCTGTATTTCTCGATAAGCAAGGAAGCGTTCAAGCTCTAATCCTTGATTGACTACCTCTTTCTTGTAGAGCAGACCACACACCAACTGTTGGTGATCGCGTAACCAATTAGTATCCCTCTCAAGTGTGCAGGACACTTTATCTCGTTCATTGTCTGCTTCTGACAATGTATCGCACATCATTTTATCGACCTGTTGGACCACTGAATTCCGCAGAAAGGTTACTTTCTCCTTGATATCCAAGTGCTGCTATCCAAGTCTTGCAGTATTTTGCTCCCGATTGTGAAGTACAGAGCTGAGGTCAGAATGGATGCGGTTAAGTTCATCTTTCATTTCTTTGGTTTTGACAGAAAAGTCTGGATCTTGTAAAATAGCTTCAAGTTCCTCGACACTGTCACAAACACGGTGTTTTGTTGCACGCACTTCATACAACATAGCTGTTCGTGACTAAAACAGAAGAAAGTGAAGTCGATGGCATGCTTATGGCAACAACGATTGTCATTTTCGTTTGTCACATGATTTGTTTCTTCAATTTTCATGATTTTGTGACTCTTCGGTCCCTTCATTGATTGATGATACTCTGCACAACTGTCACACAACGCTTCCTGACAGTCTTGGCACCAAAATGTTGCGGAAACTGATTCAAATCCACGTGAAAGGCACACTTCACACGTTCTCGATTTATCACTTTCATTGGATTCAACTGGACAGGAACGTTTAGCATTTATACCAGGCTTGTCTGCCATTTTTCTGGCATCGTCTCCGACTTTTATCACGGTCACATGGTAGTTTGGTATCAGCACGACAAGAAGGACAGGGAAATCTACTAGTTAATCCAGACCCTCGTTTGCAAATGCTTGCTACTTAGTTACCAATGCAACTCTCACAAAATGAGTGCAGATATGGCAGGATCACTGGCTTCTCCAATGTGTCAATACATATTGGGCAGTTCGGTATCTTATTGTGCTCTATTCTGTTGGCACACTCAGCCATTTTGGCGTAACTCTGATATCAATGTGGGAATACAAATTATTTCTTTGTCCCGCTGTGTTATCTTGATCAGTGTTAACTGTTCCGCCAATTAGAATGCAACAACTGTTTTTTTTATGATCATTAAGAGAACCAATGACATTCAGTATATTTATTTTATGTTAAATTATCAGAGCCTAAACAATAACAATTAATATCATTCCACGGCAATCAAATAATGTCACAACTACGTTTTTGTCTCTTGTCAAAGAAATATTATTATAGGCATAGAACATATATGATTCGATAGTACTGTAATGGAAAAAATCAAAGCTTTGTCAATATTTCCTAGACTAAAAAAATTAATAAATGTAAGAGAGGAACAAGGGTTATTATTCCGACCCGTCCGGAATCTTGGATTTTCGGTAATTTTTGACCGGACAACTGATAATTTGTGCAAAACACATTGTAAATACCGAGAACATTCTACGGGTGATATTCTGTGTTCTATCAGATCTCCAGAAGATATATTGGCATTGTTAATCTCATTGTAGATTTTATGATGTGCAAGGATTGTGGCTGCATCTTTGACCATAATGGAAAGTGTCTGCAGTATTTGGATCAAAGCTTAAAGGACGGTAGAATTCTCGTAAATACATCCCAGGTTACCCATTCTATGATAAGGTGATTCTGACGAAGATATTAATAAAGTTTTCGCTTTCAAGCAACATCCTACTTTAAAACTTATAGAAAAAGAACCCACCCCCTAAATTTATGCATATTCCAAACTGATAACTCCATAGTATGAATTAGCAAGAATCTTAATTTATACGCCGATTGCTATGTATTACAATGTGGTATTGTGTTTACTATATACAAATGTCCACTTAGTTATCAAACAGCTTATCGTTTGTAAATACATTTGTATTTACTATATACACCTCTTGTGAAAGAGGATAAAAATTAATTTATCTTGTTACACACAGTGGTATACTTTATATATTCTTTTAATAATAATAATAATAATAATAATAATAATAATAATAATAATAATAATAATATTATTATTATTATTATTATTATTATTATTATTATTATTATTATTATTATTATTATTATTATTATTATTATTATGCTTCCTCGGGAAAGATTAGGCTTTTCACTAATTGATTTACCTTCTATGATAATAATAATAATAATAATAATAATAATAATAATAATAATAATAATAATAATAATAATAATAATAATAATAATAATAATTATTATTATGATTATTATTATTATTATTATTATTATTATTATTATTATTATTATTATTATTATTATTATTATTATTATTATTATTATTATTATTATTATCATAGAAGGTAAATCAATTAGTGAAAAGCCTAATCTTTCCCGAGGAAGCCTAATTTCTCCTGAGGTCATCTTTATAACATAGCCACTTAAAATAATACAAAAAAGGAACATGCCATTAGTTTAACTTTTGATATATTTACATATACCTCTCCAGTGGTTAGAGCGTCCGCCTCGGATGCGGGAGGTCGCGGGTTCGAACTCTTGCCGAGTCATATCAAAGACTTATAACAATGGTACTAGTACCTGCCTCGCACAGCGCTCAGCTTTACAAGGTTAGTGTTAAGACTGGTCGGCCTGGTATCAGGTAATGTGACTGGATACCACGTGTCAGCAGTTTGATGCCCCAGTGCTAAACATCACTATAATCTACCAGACTGCAGACATCGTAGCAATATAACCAGAATTAATATTATGTTAAAAATTACCCCCCTATATATATATATGTATGTATACATATATATATATATATATATATATATATATATATATATATATATATATATATATATATATATATATATATATATATATCACATACCTAACTTCACAATTCTTAAGCACTTGTATACACATACTGAAAAACCCATTTACATTCACACACACTCACATGCCTCACACTCACAGTGCAATGGACATACACACCGTTCATATACTCTTATGCACATACTGATATACTCATTCACGTTCATATACACTCACATGTCTCTCGCTCTTACACTTCTATACACACGTACACATACACCGTCCCCCTTCATATACACATACACCGCCCCTTTCATATACTCTTATGCACATACTGATATACTCATTCCCATTCATGTAGAATCACACACACACATACACACACTCGCACACACACACTTTTATATACGCTTATGCACATAATTATATACATTCACATTCATATACCTACCCTTCCAACATATATCACATTTCTATACATATAAACACTTCAGTGTTTGTATGACATATGCATAGCCCAAACTAATACAATCCTTTGTATGAAAAAGACAAAACAACACTTATAACTACAAATGTATACATTTTATTACTTGTAAAAGAAACATGTATAATCGAAACTACTGTAATTCAATTAAGATGAATGTTACAGTCACGTGACATCAGTGTAGCAGCTTTTCTTAAACATAATTTAAAAATCTGTTCAATTGTTTATTAGTACATAAAATCAAATCCAGTACAGGAAGATTTCTGGCACTATTTTAAAAATATTATTAACTCTTTTTAGAAGAACTAACTTAAGAACTAGCTTTAGAACATGCCTTAGCAATGTGTGCAATTCAATTAAAATTTTGATCGACATAGATACATGTATAATATCTATCTTGTTATTATCAATTCTTAACGCTGGCAGTCGCACCTTTCCCACTACTGGTATTTTCCTACCCAGATATATGTGGTATCAAGCTAACTTACTGAAGTTTTATCTTTGTTACGCCATGAATTTATATTTTCTAGGCTTAATTGTTTATAATTCAGTTACGTACCTACCTAAAATGTGCTGGGTAGATCATCGACATATTTGTCTCTATTGGCTGTCTCTGTATCTAATAATTAATCATTTAAGCAAAAGTGTAAGAACAATATTGGGCCTAGAATATATCCTTGTGTGTTAGCTATGAAATATATTCAGTTAAATAAAATAGAAGACCTCTATACTTAATATGCCCAGTGATAAAAAATAAATAAAAACCCACCTTTAATACGTATTACAACTATAGAAAAATTACGACGTATTCACAACCAATATTCAGAAAGATTTTTGTAACGAAAAGATTCCGATATTAATTTAATGGACATATCAATGAATACAGATTTCACTTTATGGCAAAAACATTCAAAATATATATGAATATTTCAATGATGTTGAACTAATTTTGTAATCATTATTTGAACATCTCTACAATTTGGTTATGTACAAGTACAGTTAGAATCAACGATTAGACATACGAAACAACCAACTGCAGGTTGGGGGTTGAATAAATTGAGTACAGAATTTGTTACCACAGCGCAAAGTTTCTCAAGATATCAAAATGAAAGCTAAATGTATAAAGTAACCGAAAATTTATTCAATATTATACATACCAGATTCGGACTGTACATAAGCAAAAGCTCAAATAAGGCTCATAGATAGGATACCGAAACCTGTTGAACGTCATTGAGCAAACGAATATCAAGGGCCAAATCACGATCACATTATCCTGATCTTAGATCTAAGAAAAGACATCAGAATAAGGACAGTACGACCAAAGTACTTAGACTATAAGGAGTACAACAGTAACAGTGTGGATGCTTCACAACGTATGACCTTAACTCGGCTATGTATAATGGGAGTAGGAGAGGAAGATACTTCTTAGAAGTCCCCCCAGCCTGTGTCCTGGGGCTGTCCCTCCCCAAACTTGTGTCCTAGGGCTGTTAACTTTTTTTTTTACTAGTTCGAGTTTCCTCTGACCCTTGCCACCCCTATACAAAATGGGGTGGCAAGGGTTAGAGGAAACTGACTATATTTTGACAATCGGCATCTAGTTCCCCAGGTGAAGCCGACATAATATGGGTCGTCCATTAATTATGTCAACAAAATGAAGGAGGGGGTTTAAAAAAGTTTGACAATTGTTGACATGTGGGGTGTTCAAGATAAATTGACGTCAACAATGTTATTTTTTAAGATAATTTTAATAAATAAAACAAGGAAATTAGATGATGTTGACTTGTCAATGTATCGGTTCCACGAGAAATTAATGAATCAGCCACTATGCCCATTATAACAATTGAGGAACATTTGGCTTCTCCATGGAAAGATGATAGAAGCTAGAATATAACGTCTCGAATTTTTCATGAATTCAGTGTTATAGTAAATTTGAAATCTTTTAAACAAGTAAAAAATGTATTTAATTTTATTTGTAGACCTTTTAATTTCAATAATTCTATTCTTAGCATAAAAGCCAGCCGTATAAAATATTATTAGTTTGGTGGGGAGGGGGATTTTGACATGTTTTTTTTGGGGGGGGGGGGCACTGAAAGTTTGACAATTGCTGACAATAAGGGCGGGGTAAAAATTGCCTAAAAATATTGACATAATTAATGGAAGCCAGATATAGCTATATGGTATTGAATATTAGGAGATTTTTTGTTATAAATAGAATTATAAAATATACATTCACAGTAAAAATGATGGACATGGCAGTGTACAGCAAGGATGTAAACTCCGTTTAACCGTAGAACTTAGCAATGTAATGCGCAAGGAGACAGGTGAAAACGTACCAAAACGGAGCTTACCCAAAGCAAAACGTACACCAACCGAAACCGACCCAAGTCAAAACGTACCCAAGTCAAAACTTGCTCAAGTTGGACAAATTTTCTTGCCCAATATGTGCAGGCAAATTTCATAAAGCAAATTGCCCTGGAATATATATCTTCTATTTCTCAGCAGTACTGATTAGAAAAATCATAAGACCTAATTTTATGGATGTCCACTAAAAAGAAGATTTTCCTAATGCATTGAGATGGTCAAATGTTGCATTTTAAACTGTCTAAAGAGATGACCATTATGTAGTGTTCAGAGACCAGTGTACATTACTTTACCTGTATTTCCCTGTATTTTTAAAACAAGAAAGTTTTAACAGATTTCCCATATTTCATATGCAGAATATTTTTGTCAAACCACATAATCTGTGTAAAAACAAAAAAAAATGACCTCTAACAAAGTGTAAGATTCTCCAACTGTAAATATGATCGGATGCTTGATTGTTTCCATGGTCTAGTGGAAGGGGCCATGGTGGCTGACTAATTTTGCATGATGGACACATGAAGGGTGTATAATTCAGATTTGACCATCGGATCAACCAGGGCATACTGCAGTGTGTCCCAAGGCAAGTTTACTCAAAATTGATTTAATACTAGATAAACTTCAAGTGTTGAATACCAAAACCAATTCAAAGACAAGTAGAATTAAAGGCAAGGATGAAGCTACTGGTGCTACTGCTGCCTTATCCATATAATTATATATATCCTCACCCACTCACTCCCAAAATAAATTAAAAAAATGAATGTAAAATGAAATGATGATTGAAATCAAGTATGTGCTTGAAATGGTCTAAAATAAAGTATAGATTTTGAATTAGCCACCATTACAGAGAAGAAAGAAATAGACTAAAAGTATAACATTATGGGACATGTCTCAGCATATAAAATACTTATGACTTAAAGTGCTTTGGGTCATGTTTGATAAAAATGAAACTATTCTGTCTCATTTATTGGATTGTTGTAACTGTACCTGTAGCTGAAGTAATTAATGACTGCAGCTGACAGAGTTGAACATAGAAGTTTGATTTTGAAGACTTAGATTTTGGTGTTTAATGAATTCATACAAAATAATATGTTGATTGTTTTGTTTAGTACTTCCAATCTTATGATGTCATTTATGTTATTTTTTTATTCTCTATCCTATTAAAAAAAAATTATTTTGATTATTAAATTCAGTTACAAAAATGTTGATATTTCATGCATTATACATGTCTTTAGTTTGTCTAGCCTGCATTGATGGAAGCTTGGCAAGGTGATTACTGCATGCTTGTTGGTTTGACTCTACATTTAGTATCTACATTTGTCCATCCATGTCTGTCCACACTCTACATTTTTCCATCCATGTCTGTCCACTCTATACATTTGTCCATCCATGTCTGTCCACACTCTACATTTGTCCATCCATATCTGTCCACACTCTACATTTGTCCATCCATGTCTGTCCACACTCTCCATTTGTCCATCCATATCTGTCCACACTCTACATTTGTCCATCCATGTCTGTCCACACTCCACATTTTTCCATCCATGTCTGTCCACTCTCTACATTTGTCCATCAGTGTCTGTCCACACTCTACATTTGTCCATCCGTGTCTGTCCACACTCTACATTTGTCCATCCGTGTCTGCCCACTCTCTACATTTGTCCATCCATGTCTGTCCACTCTCTACATTTGTCCATCCGTGTCTGTCCACACTCTACATTTGTCCATCCGTGTCTGTCCACACTCTACATTTGTCCATCCGTGTCTGTCCACACTCTACATTTGTCCATCCGTGTCTGTCCACACTCTACATTTGTCCATTCATGTCTGTCCACACTCTACATTTGTCCATCCGTGTCTGTCCACACTCTACATTTGTCCATCCATGTCTGTCCACTCTCTACATTTGTCCATCC